CAGGTCTGGTAAAACAAGGACTAATGGGTTAACAAAAATCCTCACCTGACAAGGGTTGTGTCTACACTGTCTTTATTAACTGTGCTCAGATGGAGGCTGGAGCATCCTATGCCACTTATCCTGAAACTTTTGTGCACTTACTCCCTGTGAAAGTGGGGCACCAGTCTGAGCTGGCTGGGCTGGAAACCCCACACCCCAAGGGTCCTGTCTGGGCAGCCGCCAGAGCAGACCCACAGCATCAGCTGCTATGGGGCAGCGTGGACACCCAGCACATTTGGGCCACCCAGAACTAAGCTGCCAGTCCAAGGCACCTAAGGCATTAGAGGAAGGTGTCAGCACACTGCTCTGTTGGTGACAGATACATTTCAGGAGAGCCAGGGGAAAGTATTAATTGCCTGACCAACAGCCGTGGCAGCACCTACTGGAAAATGGAAGAAAAGGAGAGATGATTGATGTTGCCAGAGTACCGTTACATTTTCTCATCCATGTTGGAGCAATACATGAAGGAATAACAAAGCCCCCACTCCTCGGGGCTCTGTGAAAGGTGTCAGAAATGGCCCTGATGGCTTCACTGAGCTCCATGTCAGGCCATGGATAAAATAGATCTGTAATCCAAGGGCAAGGAGGAGGCCAGACAGACTTGATTAATCTTCTTGATAGGATCAAAATGCCACTGGCAGTACATTACCCTGATGGCAGTAAAGCACTGCAGACAGGGGGCCCAGCCATCATCTTTGTAGCATCTCCCCTGCCTAGCAGGTGACAGCAGAGCTGGCTGTGCCACCCCTGCTCACTCACCCTGTCAAAATAGCCCGTGGTATCTCCACAGTGACTGGAGACACTCCATTTTCATTCCTCCTCCAATCTCTCCTGTTTCCAAGCTGACTCACGTGGGAGAGCACTACTAAAGCCATTTTCTGGAGCTCCTGTGTTCCCTCAGCCACTCTCCATCCCTACACCGAGTCCTCTGCAGCTTCCACACTGAGCAGCTCGATAGTCAAAGCAGCATAACCCAAGGTTTCTCCTGGGGACAGAGCCTGCCTGAAATGCAGCTCTGCGCTGTTTGTCTCTGAGCAAATTTCCAGAAGGATGTGAGGAATCCAGGCTCCTCTTACCTGTAACAGTTGTTGGTATATTTGTTGTAGCTGCCCAGAGCTGTCAGGCACCCCTGGCAAATGGCATAAGAGAAGAGGATCTGAGTGCCTGCATCCATCCACACCTGGAACAGAGAAGGTCACTGGTCTCCAGAGCTGGCAACAAAATAAACAAATGGCTATGCCCTGTCTAGCAACAACCCTTTCATCAGTGCAGAACAAACTGCAGAGACAGAGAGGGGCTCAGTGGATGTAGAAACTGGGATACCTCTCTGGGAAAACTGAGCTATAGGATGGAAAGTCCTCTAGGAAAAGGCTCCTGAGGGGACCATATTTTCACATCCCACTCAAAGCGATGTACGGCTCCAGTCGATGCCTGACACCACTCCTCCATCCCACACCTTTGTGTTCTGGGTGAAGACGGCATCCCAGATAGCGCGGCTCCAGCTAAAGTTGGCACTGCAGGTGTCTGTGGTCCCTGGGTGGCTCAGGGTTTGCAGAGCCACTGGTGAGTCGTCCCAAACGAGGGTCAGTGAATCCTTTGCATGATCAGTGCATTCCCCTCCCTGCTCCTGAATATGGTTCCCCACATCTCTGAGGCCACGGTGCAGGGTGAAAGGGGGAAAATTGCTGGGCTGAGAGATATCAGGCTGATGGGTTGTTGTGGACCCAGGTTCCCCTTTGCTCTGGCATTGCATGGGAAAAGCTGAGTGGGCTTGTTCACTGCTGCTCCAGCCCGCTCACCTGTGGAGGATTCCCTTGTTCACTCCAGGTGTTGTGGGTTGAACTGCAGCTCCGCTCTCACACCCTCCCAGGGAAAGCCCTGAGCTTCGAGTTAGCAGGCAGGCAGGAAAACAGCCCACCTTTCTGTTTGTCTGTGTGTTCCCACTCACTCTCTTTTTCCTCTAAGCAGTCCTCAGCTGTAAACATCCAGGCAACTGCAATTTGGCAACCTTCGAAAAATCCCAGCCTAGGCATTGCTGCTTAAATTCACGCGGATCTCTTGCAGATAGGCACGTACATGGAAGCCCTTCAGGCGTGGCCACGGGCACGGGCACACATCCCGCTTTACACCAAAGCCCCACATTCTGCCTAAACTCAGTAGCAGGATCTCTCGCTCCTGCTGCGCTGGGTTGCAGCAGCCTGGAAAGACCATGTCAGCTTTAGTTAGGCTGTGAAAGAGAGTTTTCAGTGAATAAGCTCTGACCATGAATAAAACACACTCAGCCCCAGTCACCCCCCTGTTATTTATTTTGATATTAAAAACCATTCAGCTGGCTCTTTGCATTCGGCGCACCACAGATTTTGTATTGACAACACATAATTGCATCTGAAAGCCATTTGGGGGAAGAGAGTGTGTTTGGCAGCTGGTTTGGGAGCAGTTGGGGCTTTGGCCATCTGGGAAGATGCAGGAGGTAAGCTGAGACTGTGGGCTAAGCATATTGCTTGGCTGCCTCTCTGAAAAGATTCAGCTGTGGAATAATTAGCAGCAGCGTCATTTAAATGTTCGTCCGTGGGGGGTCTGCATTAGCACCTCCCTGGGCTGGTGGAGGCAGCCTGCACAACGTTGCTGAGCCCACATGGGGAAGGGAAGCAACCTACTGCTACAGAAAGGTGCCCAAGCAGACACCCCTGGGGGATCCTCCAAGGGGGAAACCTGCCGCCTGCCCCACACAGCCCCCAAGGCTGCTGCCCACCTCCTGCCAACTCAGGCTACCCTGCGGGTCCTGGGTTTAGCTGCACCTTCTGCCTTAATCTGGATTTGCCCTCCTCGGGTACAGAGCATCCCCCCTGCCAGGGGGGTTTCCATGAGCTCCAGTGAGCACTGGCAGGGGCTGACGTGAGCCCTTTGACCAGCCCCCAGGATGGGTGAAGCAACCCTGCTGCCCAGCCCGCATTACCTGCATGCATTCAGTCTCTGCAAGCACAGGGGCACTGCACTCCGTGGGAGGCCCCTGTTGGAGCCAAACTAAGTGCTAACCAGGCCAGAAAAAATGAAAAGAAGTAGATCATTTTCCCCTCCTTCCTTAATTATTTGCATTTAAGACCCAGCAAAATTATCTGTTACATGCTGAATATTTCATATACTCTTCTGGTTTTGCTGAGCCCATGAGTGGAAAAGACCTAATATGCCCATATGCTGCAGATGCACAAGCAAAAAGGCTGTGCTGTGCAGAAGGACGAGACCCCTCTCAGCTTTTAAGGAGATCACACTGGTTCGCCAGTCTCCCTTCGGAGAAGATGACAGCTAGATCCTCAGCTAGCAGCAGATCCAAGGGTCAGAGCACTGGAAACCTTCCTGTGGCCAGCACCTGCCTGATCCCCACCCACCTGTGGGTCTGCCAGCCTGGAAATGTCCGGCTTCAGGTAGAAGATGATCCCCTCGGCAGCACCGGGCAGCGTGACTCCTCGCACCAGCAGGATGATAAGCATCAAGTACGGGAAGGTGGCAGCGAAGTAAATGACCTGGGGGCGCAGGGAAAGGGGAGGAGAGAGGGTCAGCAGGGAGGGGGTGCAGGCATCATCTATCTCATCTGCAGGCCCCCACCCCAGCAAACGTCCCTGGACTCTGCTGTTGGCTATAGCTGCTACTGCTAGCGTAGAAGAGGGGTGGGAAAGAAATTAATCAAGGTTACATCTCACCGGTGATGTAGTTAATCTACATTTTGTTCCTCACCCAAGGCTCTGTCACTGATTCCTCTGCTTTATTTTCTCTTTCTAGTCAGTGTAATTTCCCTGCTCTCCAGCTGTTCTCTTCATCTTTCTAGAGCTGCAGAAGAAACCCAGATCTCTTCCTGTCACTGAGTTTTAATGAGGAGTTATCAAAATGGTCCTATTCCCAGCAAGAGTTTTCCAAATTAAATAGCAACTTTTGCTGCCCAGTTTGAGACACCTCTGAGGGGTCTCATTTCCAGGGGTGTTCATGCAGCTCTCTCATCCCTTCAGTGCCTCCAAGCTTACAGGTAAAAAATGGGGGCAACTCCAAGCCTTTTAAGAAAATGTGGACCATTATTTTTGTAAAACCTTCTTTTCACTTCTTCTTGTGTGTGATGTAAATAAATATTACAGTAGAATTAATCATCTCTAATCCATTGCCTAATGTAACATCTGCTTAGTGATAATTGGTCGAATAAGTACCAGTACGTGGCACTTTTGCTGTTCCCTGACTGAATGAGAATGTGAGCACTTTTGGCACAAGTACTAAAATCTACCTTCAGAAATCACTTCTGTGGAACATTTATACACATCAGCTGAATGCATAAGGAAAGAAAACATGGAAAGAGCACAAAGGTGGGCAAAATGAATAAAAGAAAAAGGCTTTTAAAGAAAATTAGTCTTCACGGAGTTATTTGAAATTATTTTCCTGAGGTCGCTATTGTTTCTTTAAGTTTGGAGTCCTTAAATCACAGAAGTATAAACGCAAGGGTCTGGCAGGGTTATCCGATTAGAGCAGCCTCTCAGTCAAGCACAACATCCTGTTTACTCTGCAGCCGTGAAACAAAATTATGCACCTACTCAGCATTCCTGGGACCTTGTCGTGGTTTAACTCCAGCTAGCAACGAAGCACCACACAGCTGCTACTGCTTATCCTAATACATAGTCAGCGAGGAAAAAGAAGGAAGGAGCTGATTTTTTTGACAGTGCCCCTGTAAAACTCAAAATGACTACCTGTAGAGAAGACAACCAGCCTGTCTGGCCTGTGATATGTCTCAGGACAGAAAAACCCATCCTGTATTGCTGCACCATGTCCATAACATCTATGGGGTAAAGAGTAAGACCTGTAGTCTAATACTTGTGATGGAAAAATCTTCTGTGTTCCCAGGAAAACCATTCCAGCTACTACCTGCTTTCATTGTCTCCTCTCACTTTCTGGCCTGACTTTGCCAAACCCAATCAGCCCAGCCAGCCTGACTGAACTTCTTTAGCCTTCTCCAACAAGGCAAGCTCTGCACACCGGGGCAGCACTGGGCAAAGGAGAGACTTGGTGGAGAGAGGGCTGAGAGTTGAAGGGAACCTGGGATGACTTAACTACACTTCCATGCAGATCAAACAACCTCTCAGACCCAATCTCCCAAGATCAGAATGATACCTTTTGTGAAGATGGCACTCTGGTATTTGAACCAGGGAGCATCAGAGATTTAAGATTTAAAATGAGGAGCATCCGCTCTCCCTATAGATGTGGAGTCTGGCTCTCACTCCTTGAGAAATGGTGACAGCAGGTCAGCACTAGGAAGAGCCAGAGTCACCGGCAAAGACTGGGAGAAACCTCGCAAGCAGAGCAAGCTCTTGTCTTGCTCTGTTAAAAATGGGTGCCCAGTGCAGTTTTAAGGTGGGAGATGGGATTTGGCACTGAAACACAGGTGTCCAGTACTACAGGGAACATCTGCCAATATTAGGGATAGTGATTTGAAGGAAGAAGGCCGTTGCAGAAATTGGTTCCCCTCCCTTTGCTATTGGGACATTCCCTGGACGCCCACAAGACCCAACCATCGTTACTAGCCCACTTGTCTCATTGCAGCTCCAGGAAGGAAGTCAACTCCTGAACAAGTCAAGGCCGTAGCAGCGTCCCTAACACCCACCCCAAGGCATCACACATTCACTCTGGAGGGATAACCAGTCCACCTGATCTACGGGAACAGCATCGGGAGGGAGCATTGGCTCCAGCCTCACTAGCAAAATGAAAAAAAGTGACCCGCTGAGCTAAAAACCGCAGAGTGAGGGAGAGTACAAAGGAGAGTGCAAAGACACCTCTCCCACCCCAAGTATTTTGCAGGATAAAGAAGCAGGAGAGATTCATTATCTATTCACTAAGCTGGTTACAGGCAGCAGCTTGTCTGTTTTGCTCAAGAGTTTAATTATTGCCAGGGACAGGCAGTTTGCCACTGCAGAGGGTCTTGTTAAAAACACCTGCACACCACACCAGGACAACACACTGGTGAGTGGATGGTTCCCAAGGGCACTTGGGACGTATCCATCAGCCACTGTGGGTATGTGCAAGGGAAAAGGTGACCCAAGACACCCCTCAGTTCCCAGGTCTTTCTCTGTTCTCCCCTCCCTGTTTGACCTACTCTTTTATTCTTCCTCTTACAGGTCAAACACAACTGGTGTAAATCAGTATAGTCCCACCAGGTTTTAGGCTTGACTTTGGTTGTGTGTGTCTCCTGCCTCTATTTCACGAAGAGGGAAAAGAGATTGGGGAAGAAATGTAAGATGGGTACAAAGAGGCTTATGGACTAGGAGGACAATCTCCGTTCCTACTTTGCCTGTGGACTTGACCCCTTTCCAGATGCAGAAGTAGCAGATGATCCACGCCAGCAGGAGACACAGAGCCAGCTCCCAGCGCACAGTGCCCAGTTTGTGAATACCATCCGTGAGCCCCAGGACTCGCTTCCTGCCGGTGTCCAGGGACAGGGAAAGAAACATTAACACCCCAGACCCCATTCATCTGTACATACCTTTCCCGTACTACCCCATTCAAAGACTTAAGAGACTACCCACAACACATCTGCCCAGGGCTCCCAGCCATGTGAATCACCCCAGCTCTGCCTAGGGCTCCCCTCTGCCATCCCTGCTGCTGCTGCTCCACTGTGTCCTGTAGCTGGCCCGAGCCCTCCCACTCTCCAAGCCCATGACACCGTGCCCATCAGACCCATGCAGCACAAAATCACCACCTGTCCCCACGTTGTTACCCCTCCCTGGCAGCTGCCCAGCAGACACTACTCAATCCAAAGCAGGCCACCAATGCCATCATCACCCCATGGTCACTCACTGCTCTTCCTCTGGCCTCCCCATACACTATGGACACCCTATACATAAGCATAAATGGCCTTTATGATTCCTATGCCCTTCCTTCAGCCTCATTCCCTGAAAACTCACCATCATGAAGGTGGGCCATACAAGAGGTCAGTCCTGCAGCTTATTCAGTCCCAGCAGCCCAACCCCACACTTACAATTCCTCTATGCACTTTTCCTCAAACCAGCCCCCTTGGGGGCCCCTTGCCCTTGCAACCTGTGCAGAAAACCTGAACAACCACTTCAGAGGGGTCACAGCTCTCACTAAAGAGTATGTGCAAAGAATAGGGCAGGAGAGGAGATCTGGCACTGTGTGGACTCTTTCTGCACCCATGGGCAAATCTCACCTTATCTGTGCCCTATGGTGGCTGCAAGGGACAAAGGGCACTCAACCCTCTCAGAGGCACTTTAAGAGCCATAAATGAAAAAGAGAAATACTGCTGAAGCTGAGCCCCTGGCACCCCTCTTCTTTATGAAACCTTCCTCAGTTGAGTGTGGAGAGGCACTGTGGCCCCTGCAGCAATTTCAACCTTGCCACACTGCAGTGATGACCGCCTTTGGGACACTGTCTGGCCTGCTGTAGGACCCCTCTTTCAGAGGTGCTTTATGGCCTCCAACCCCATGACTAAACCTCCCCAAGCCCCTCTCTGGCATCTCCCTCGTGTGCAGCAGATCCTTGCTCTCCAGGGATGAGCCTGAGCAGCCTGATGGACCACTTCCCTTAGGCACCAAGCAAGACATGGTCAGAAGAAGGGAAAAGGCAGTTTTGTCCCTTTCTGTTTCACTGCAAAGGACGGTTCAGTCTGCCCTGGCCTCTCATGCTCGCCTGCCAACAGTAGCCTGCAGCACCCAACACGAGTACCCCCTGCTTACAGCAAGCCCTTATCTTCTTTTGGTGCCTCTTTCTGTGGCCACACTCACCCGGGCAGTGCCAGAAAGGGAACATGCCTCTGTGTGTGTGCGCACACGAGCACCCCTGGTCAGGCACTCTGCGAGCAGCCTTCGGGGTGTAACTAAGTCCTCGTGGCCCTGGGCTCTGTGCCGATCTCCTTGGCAGCTCAGTGCGTTGTGCTCCCCATGTTCAGGTCCAACATGTGGCACCTCACTTGGTCCTACAGAGATGCACAGCCCTCCCCCTGGATACTCCTACAGCTGCAGCCTTTGGATGACAGAGGAGCCTGAACAGAGGGAAAATGATCACATACTCCCAAAACTCAATCATTGGGGAGGTGGCGTTCGCAGGCAAGGTCCTGTTGTCCAAGCTGGAGCTATTCAGAATGTCCACACAGAGATCTACCAAAAGAAAAGGAAGGTGATGAGCCAGAGAAATTCTCCAAGGCTCCTCCGTGAGGGGTGCTCCTTCCCCTCTGTACCCTAACCCTCACTCTGGCAGCATACAGACCCTTCACCCCATGCTATAGGGCATCTCATTAAGCATCTCATTAAACTCTGGCTCTCCCCAGCTGCGAATCCCAATCCAGCAGTAGTCAGAGGGCTTTGGGAAGGGGAGAGGGGAAGGAGAGAGCAATTCCCTGCCAAATGGAAACCAGATGGCTGCAAAATATAGATTATTGAGGGATAGCCACTATGAGTAGCCAGGATAGAAAATCCCATTCTCCTCCCACACCACGCACCATTCCCTGTCCACACATGCACGCATATGTTCACACATGCCACAGATGCCTTCATGTTCCACTCTGCCATCCCCAACCCTGTCACATAGCGTGAAATTACTAAAAACAGAGGAGATGCCATGCATCCAAGAAATGCACCTCATCTTGCATTTGGCAAGCAAAAGACAATCCACTGGAAAACCGAGGAAGCCCAGCTCTGGCTGGGAAGCTTCTGCCTGTTACGAGAACATCTGTGGCTTTCCTCGCAAACAAACCCATGCTGGAATCAGATCCACTCTTTAAAAGACTGGTTACCTCTGCTGGGATGAAGGAGCAAAGGAAGCTGTGAGTGAATAGCCCATGGGGTGGACAAATTTAACACATCACAGAAATTAATCATCTGACCCAAGAGAAAAAGGGAGGGAACTGAGCTGCTGCCAAAGCCTTTTCCAGCCTGGCTTTCCACTGAAAGCAAAACAACCTGTTCAACATGGTAAAAAAGGCCTGTCAAGGACATCAGATCTGTGAGGGTTACCTCACATCTACCCCATCTTCCCGGGCACAGCCCAAGTGCCTTGAATAAAACCAAAGCCAGGTCTTCTCTGCTGGACACAGTTATGTGAACTGTGGGCATGAGGAGATGAGACCCCTGGCCAATATAATGGTATAGAGGCTTGTATGGATGTGATGAGACCAGAAAAACGGTGCCTTTAGAGTTTTGTGTTAGTGGTTCCTTCATTGGGAGACCTGTGCTGGCAAAATCCTCCAGTGCAGGCCTGGCCTGATTTAGCCAAAAGCTGAGTGCACAAAGGAAACTGTTCAGCACGTGGCAGCAACTGTCCCAGTAACTCCGAAGGAGTGGGGTAGAGTAAGGGAATTGTAAGATAAATTGTTGTACCAGAGCTAATGAAAAGCTCCTGCCATGTGAGGAGGACTCTAGATTGGCTTGAAAACCCCCCCCGCCCCCCCTGCCTCTCCCACTTGCCAGAAAATACAGATTTTTCAGTGAAATCTCAACACCCAAAACATCTCCATGTGGAAATAGTTTTACTGTCCCCTGCTGCTAGGCATAGGGTCATACCACTCACCCTTCCTGACACTTGGGCACAATGAATGAAGACAGTCACCTTTGCAGGAGTCCCTAGCCACACTGCAGCTCATGAGAGCTTTTTATCTGAATAAAACATATTTTCTACAAAACCCAGATAATTTCTGGGAATTGTGAAGGAGCTAGGAGCTGACCAAGGGAAGGTGTACCTGAGTTCCAGGGGTTATTGCAGCTGGCCCACGGTAGCACTGCGGTGAAGGAGCTGAACAGGTAGAAGAGTGCCCAGGACAGGATGATGATGTAGTAGATGTTCAGGTAGCACTCGATGACTTGTGAGGCATATCCAATTCCTGTGAAAGAAAGCAAAGGAGGTAAGGATAAGGCTGCCAACCAACTCCCAACACGTCAGGCTTAACCCCAAAGACGCAGACCATGTCATGGTAAGAAGGGTGCAACACCAACCACATGGCTCACTAGAGAATAGGGCAAGACGTACCTCAGGGAAGAGAATGGATTTTGTGACTGTGCATGCAGACAGGAAACATTGTTGGTATCTCTAGACAGGTCTATGGTGGAACAGAGAGAAAACCTTTCACTGATGGGAAAACTTTTGTCTGACCACTACCATGCCACTGCATTACACTGCCTCTCCTGCAGAAAAGCCAGCTCTAGCCTTTAAAGAAAAGAATTGCGGGTGAGTTTCTTCCTTCTGGAAAGACTCAGACAAAAATGGTTCTCACAGCTGATATAATGCATAAAGTATGGTGTAAAAAAAGTACAAACTTAAGAGCTGAGCTCTGGTCTTGGGTCCTGCTTTTGCCCTTCACTCACTGGGACATCAGAACGGTAATCAGGTCAGAAAGGTCCAATTCGTTCGTTTAAAACTGGTTGTCAGTGCACTTTGAGATGCCACTGCTGTCCACCTCCAGGCCCCATGCCAGAGCCCAGGGGTCTTCAGCACAGGAGGTCCCAGGCTCCCCAGTTTCAAACAGCACTGCACACCTGTGCTTGAGCAAACTAGCCAGGCCTTTAATCTGCCTGAGCACAAGTTTCTCTGTCTGCAAAACATGGGTAATAAATAAGCTCTCCTCTGGACAGAATTGTGGACGTTAGATTCATTAACATATTAATACCATTAAACAACCTTCCCCAGGGCCCCAGGAGTCCTGTTTCTTATACCTGTGCCTTAAGCACCACCCCAGCCCATCTCTGGGCTGTCAGACTGGTGCATGCATTGTGATCCCCCTCAGCCTGCAGGATGCCAGCCTGCAAATGCTGCCACGGCAGCCTTGAGCACAGCAATGGGCAAGGAAAGTGCCATAAGCCAGGCAGCCTTCCTCATCCTCTTCTCTCTTCAGTATTTGTCCTGGACTACATGCAGGCGTTTGTGTATTGACACTTCCATCCTCCTCCTCCTCCTCCTGCTTGCTGACCATCCTGCTCTCCTCTCTCTCGGGCTCTGAGCACCTCAAAGCAGAGACCGTAGCTCGCCTGGACCAGCACAGCCCCCAGCCAGTATCACAAGCCCTCCCAACCTACAGTGGATTCAGGGCGCTGCCCCTGCATGCACAGCAGGCACCAGGAGGGATAACAAGGCTGGGAGATACAGGAAGGGAGGGAGAATAGAGGAGAAAGAAAAAAAACAGCATAACATTTCCAAAAAAAGGCTCTGAGTCACTAATTATTAGAAAGTGCTGTCAGCAATTCCAGTAACTTGACTCACCTTCAAAGATGGGACAGATCTTCCTCCAGGCAGTGACCCCTCCCTGGCTCGTGTACTGCCCCAGCGCCGTCTCCAGGAAGAACAGGGGGATCCCACAGGTGAAGAGGAAGATGAGGTAAGGGATGAGGAAGGCTCCTGCAGAGAGGGGTGAGATGCTGCCCCAGAAACCTCTTTAAAACCTTATCCCCACCACCCCTTGCCAGGTACCCGGGGCCACAGCCAGAATCAGCTAGATAAACACAAATATTTCTCTGAATTAACTGTGCAACCTCTGCTAAAAAAACAAGGTCTCCAACACCATCATTTCTCAGAAAAAAAATACAAGTGTGGTCTGTCTCATGCTGCTGCAGTACTTCTGCATTTGGTCTTGGCCAAAACCTAGAGGTAAGGAGTAACCAGGCAAGGGGATAAAAAACGACAGCACTGGAGAAGTTCTCAGCAGGAGTCAGGCGAAGCAAAAGGAGTCCTTGTTTCATATAACCACATTTGTTCTGCCTTTCCCAGGAGTCACAGCAAAACTCCCACTTGCCCAGAGGATACAAACGTGGAGGCTGGTGACATTTCTTGGTAAGTAACAAATTTGCTGGGATATGAATTTGCTTGAAACATATTTCGCGTCAAATTTGAAAAGCAATTTGCACCAAAAGAATAGAAATAGGGGAAGGGCAACAGAGTATCTTTCCAGCATTTTCAAAATGAAAAAGTTTAACTTCTCTCTTCAAATTCAATTTTTTATTAAAATACAGAGAAATGTCTTAAGAGAGATCAGCCTCAAATAACCTTCAGATTAACCCTTGATGAAATGGAAGAGGAAGGGGAAAGAGAGCAGGGTTTTTTTCCAGAAAAAATGACCAACAAAAACAATGCCTCAGAAGAGACAAACCAAAAAGAAAAAGGTGTAGTGCCCTATTCAGCAGTCTGAAACTTTTTTTCCTTCTTTTCAGTTCTGCTGCCAAACTGAAACACCCAATATTGAAACGCCTATTCTGCTCAAAACTGATCTCTCCTGAGATCTTAGTTTCACTGCTGACCTTCCTTCTATCGCCTCCCAGTCTTTCTCCCCATCAGTAGTGTAGGTTTTCAAACTCTCACTCCCCTCCAAACAGGCCAAGGCGACTGCCTCCCTCGCTGGAACAACTGTTGAGGACTTGCCATCCCATACAGTAAACTTTGGGCCCTGAGTACCTCCCACCGCCAGTGCCTGGAGAGCATCTCAGCTGTTTGCAGCCAAGACGAGGGCCCCTTTCTCAGCTGAGCCCGACGTTGTCCCCCAGGCCCTCTCCTGCCCTGCCAGCACAGGCATTCGCACTGAAATGCCTTCCCATGACAACTAGCAACTAGGAACACTTCCCCTTGTTTTTAAGCCAACAATGTTACAATAACAAGCAACATCCAAATTTCCCCTAAACACAGCTGTGCCGTAGCTGCAGGGGACCTGGGGCCAGAGGGAGGGAGGCTGCTTCACAGCGTCTGTCCAGGTTTGCAGAGCAGGGAATGGGAACCGCGTGTGCTAAACCAGAGGCAGCTGCTGCTTTCGGTGCTGCAAGACATCTATCTGCATGCCAAATCTGCAAGACAGCTTTATTATCCTGCACACAGATGAGCCTTTCAGCAGGTCCCAAACCCTCTCCTCTGATACTGTTTGTCCCAGAGGTTGATTCATTTTGGTCTCCGAGTAATGAGGGCTTTCTCACACCTCTATTGCCTTGTCTGTCTTAACCATCCCAGAGTGGCTACCAGCTGAAACTCCAGTTGTGATCTCCTCCTCAGTTTGCTGCTCCACTGGAGGAGACTCAGCCCTGAGAGGGACCCCCAGAAACAGACCCTCTTTCCTGACAAGTCAATAACAAGTTCAGGATGCTGAGCAATTAGATCAGATTTGAAAGTGCAACCATAGATAAGTTTACACTCAATTGCTTTACAGCAAGTTAGCACAATCATTTTTATGACGCCTGTCTTTACAGCTTTATAACCACCTCACTATCTGAAGGTGGAGAAAGGTGACAAGACACCAGTCTCCAGTTTGGGTCGGGGTGTGTGTGTGGGCGGGGGGGGGGTGGCATTTATAGGTGGAAAATGTCTTTTTTGCAATGTCAAGAACCTTTTCAGTGGTAAAAATATCTTTGAGTGTCATGGGAAACACAGTGCCTTGTCCCATACTAGTTTGTTGGCCATCTGGTTCCTTAGAGCACTAGAGAGAGAAATGTACCTTCTACAGTAGCAGCATACTTTCTACAATGGCAGTGTGTGAGCTGTGAGGGAAGGACTGTCCCATTCTAATCTTTCCCAAGCCTAGCCTTGTTGGCCTCTGAATCACAGCCTTAGATATTCCAGAGTAGTTTAATTAAAAAAAAAAAAAGTTATTAAATAGATACCTAAAATGAACAAAAGTAGCCTTTTCACTTACACTAATTAGCATACAAATTGCAAAGACTACTGAACCAGATACCATAGGCATAAACTATGCAAAGATATCATCTGAGCTCAAGAAAGTATTTTCCATGCAAAAACCATGACTTCTCTCTCAAAGCATCACTGCAGAATGGGCTGTTCAATCAGATGCACCACTAGTGTTTACTAACCCGTACCGGTCTGACTTGCTTTTGGCACCTCCAGTGCCTACCATCAAAAACTCAGAGAAGGAGACTGGAGGATCTGCTAAAAACCATTCCAGGTTCAAGAAAAACTCCTTCCATTTTCTTTAACCATCGTCTTATCCAACGCCCATTTGGTTCAGAGGAGACATTGTATTGACTCCTGCTTGATCTGGATAAACTCCAGTAACAGCACAGGGGACAGGAATTTGGTAGTCCTGGGAAGAACAACAGCTGAATCACTCATCCATTGGTGACAGCTCACAACACCCTGGGAAAGAAAGGCCTTTGTGGCATGGTCTGCAAAGAAAGGAAGTTTAAAGTGGGGGGAACATACAAGTCCCAAAGCGTTATTTCAAGGTGTCTCTAGAGAACAATAACAAAAGATAAGTTATTGCTGTATTTGACATGTAATTTATTATTCCTCCTTTTCTTTTATACAGTTAGATTTTGATTCACCAAGAAAAGTTAGTGACAGTCAATTATTCCCTTCCTCTTTCCCAGTTTCATTTTATTGTTATGAGAAAGTTTAATTTTTAACCACGTAGTGATCTTTTTGCAGTGTTATTGGAAAAGGATAGTCATGCAAGAAACAAAAGGAAAGGGGAACAAACTCTTCCTGGGGACGGATTTCCCTAGCAGCAGGTTGACCACTGGGAGAACTGTTCCTGGGGAAGAGGTAGCAATGTCCTTCTTCCTCCTGTCCTCTGAGAAAATCCTTCACACGCATGTTCTCAAAGATGGCCCTTCCATCTTGTATTTGCCTGTACGACAAGCCAAGGTGCTTCAGCGTTGGGTATCTGGTACCCTCCCTCATTTCTGGAACTGATCGAGTTGTACTGACACAACAAAAAACTGTGTTTCTCTAATAACCACAAGACAGCCAGCCCTATGAGAAGAGCTGGTAGGAGACCAAGTGCCCTGGAGAAGGAAGTGGACACCCAAGTGCAACAAAGAGGGTTCCAGGCCTTGGCAAGGATACCAACGCCATCAAAGCCTTTCCTCCTCTGTAACAAGGGCCTGAGAGAGGTAGGGGTGACACAGAGGGCAGGAAAAGAGAATTATGTAGGAGGAGGTTCCTGATGGCTTTTTGACCACTCACAGTTTTCTGATGGTTTTGGAAGACTATCTGTCTCTTGAGATGCTCAAGAGCCTTGAAGAGTTACTAAAGTTCAATTCAGCATCCAAACTGCTTTGAGAAACAGTACCCACTGGGAAACTGGATTCACCCCTCAGTGCTACTCCTCCTGGTTTTGGCAGGAGCTAACTTGCTGGAGGACAGGGCAAGGGAGCGCATGTAGGGGCACATGAGGCACGGGAGAAATGGGTTCAGGTACATGTGTATCTTTTGCCATGCCTACAGACCTAGGACAGCTCATGCATGCTATGAACTTACCACCACCATTCTTGTAGCAGAGGTATGGGAATCTCCACACGTTACCCAGACCGATGATCTCCCCGGCCACAGACAGCACAAACTCCATTTTGCTGCCCCACTGGCCTCTCTCTTCCATTTCCTCCTTTTTTATCTCTTCAGGAACTGCGATGGCCCCATTGGGCTCTCCTTCCTTAGCCGCAGCTCTTGTCATGGCTCTGTGGGACAGAGGAAAAAGAGAGCATGGGACATAGGGAGCTGCTGTGGGACATGCTGGTGGGAAGAGGAGGCAGGGGACCAGTCACCACAACAGATGTGTTCCTAGTATCACCACGAGGTTCTCCTCATCCTTGGGAAAATGGCTTATTTAGCGTCAGGATGAAGCATTTTCCCCAGGTTATGTCTGTGGGACAGAAAGTCTGTTCTGAAGGGACAGAGGAAACGTCACTGGTCAGATGAGAAGGACCGACCTGCATCATTCCTTCACTGGACTCACCCCGAATTCACCCTTCCCCCCCCCCAACACCCTTCCCCCCCCCCAACACCCTTCCCCCCCCCCAACACCCTTCCCCCCCCCCAACACCCTTCCCCCCCCCCAACACCCTTCCCCCCCCCCAACACCCTTCCCCCCCCCCAACACCCTTCCCCCCCCCCAACACCCTTCCCCCCCCCCAACACCCTTCCCCCCCCCAGCACCCTTCCTCATCCTTCCCAGACCATTAGCCTTACTGTACCTCCATCTGCCCCTCCGCACACTGACTAAATGCTCTGCATCTCCACTGCTGCTGGAAGCTTGGCTGGGACTTCGGAAACGGCAGTTCAGAGGAAGAGAAAAGGAGCTGGAGCTGAAGCAGCACATGGAGGCAGGGGTTTCCCTTCCCCACGTGCTTTATACAGCAACTGTCTCCTTCTGGAGTGGTTTCAGAGAGCAGGATAGAAATCTTGCGGACTAAGAGTCTGAACAAGAGTGGACGACCTACCATCTTATTTCAAGGTATTGTCAGAAGTGCTGTCTTTGACCCCCTGGACACCATGTTACATTACACTACCATACAGCCTGCCACCTCAGTAAGGTGCACACACATTTATTTGACTGAGGCTGCCTTCAACAGCAAACAGGCATGACCAGCAAACCTCCCCCTCCATGCCCAACCCTGCAAAGAATACAGAGCAAGGAAACAAAGCCCCTGAGATGAGCAAAAGGCCCTCATACTTGTGAGGTGTTCCAGGTCTGGGAAAGGGTGTACTAAGATTAGACAAGCTCAATTATTGCAATGAAAAGGTTGGTAGGAAAAAGCCCAGCCGTGGAAACACTGTTGGAGAAGGCACACTGAACGTGGCTGGGCCTGTAGGGTGGTACAAGGAAGAAATTCTCCAGTCTATACTAAATCCTGAATTACGTTTAGCATCATCTTAATTAAGCAAAGTTAGCGGCTGCTTGTTACAAGATACAATTTTCTATCATACACAAAGTCCTTTAATTGGTTAATTTGAATCTAGCCAAAACTCACACAGACCAGATTGAATCATCTTGTTGACAACGTTTTCGTATTGTTTACAGGCATTTCATTATGAGAAGAAACTAAAGTGTGAAGAGAGAAAGTTCCCTTTGACTTAGCTAAAAAAATTCTCCTCAAAAGCTTGCTTTAATGAGTTACCTAAGGTAGGGCTGCACATGTGAGTCCAGCCAGAAAGCACAGACCTAACACGAGCAGAGTAGCTGATGAACTATGCCACAGAAGCCCTAACTGTAGCTCCATCTCTCTGGTGGCATCACTGAGCAGAAGCTGGACTTTGAAGGGGTGACTGGCATCAGCAAGGGATACACATTTCCATGTTGGGATTAGGAAACTACACTGGAAACAAGCCTCTCCAAAGCAGCAGCATCTCTGCTAAAGGCTTTCATTCCTACCAGCTGCGAGTGCTAAGAAATCAGGGCTTTGGCCCTTCACATTAACTTACAGATTCAGTTTGCGGGTGGTTTGATAGGGTTTTTAATAGCACATCTATCATGCCCTCCATGCCTCCTAAAGGGACATCCCCATCTCCAGGGAGCAGGAGGGACAGCAAACTGCATCACCCACGCTACGTAACTCTTTTTCTTCCTCTGTCCCCAGGTCTGCTCTGGACTACGTCAGCTTGCTTTCTCCCAGGCAAAGTCCAAGCACGGCTCAGTCCAGGGACCTCTCCCAGTCAGCACAATGAGCAAGACCTCACCATGCTTGATGCCCTCTACCTGATAGGACCACCAAACCTATCCATCAACATTTGAGATGGCTCATGCAGAGCAGGGACTACCAGGGAGTCTGAGCTTACTGGGAATAAGAGCAAGTGTGGTCCTAACATCAAACTGGCCCAGTAGCTTAGAAACACCATGGCACTTGTTTTGGTGTAGTTTTCAATGAGGCAAGGGGGAAGCAAGAGCAGGAACTGGTTGGCCATGCTTGTGCTTACTCCACACAAGACAGCATCATTACCACTGTGTCTCTTTCGCTTCTGTAAGTTGCCCAGTGCAAATGAAATGATTTTCTAAATGCTAACCCCTCTGGATATATCAGGCCCTGGAGCAAAGAAAGATGCTTGCATATGAAAAGACAACTTTTAATGAATGTTCATAGCAAAGCAAGCAGTTTTTGGCACAAGGCATGTTTCCTCCCTCTGTCATTCAAGTAAAGAAAGGAAACCAGATCTCACAGTGTAATACATCAATTGCTCTCTAAATGCCCAGGGCAACAACAGTCTTTGTTCTCCCATCTGCCTTGGTGCTGAAGGGCCCATCCTATTCCCTTTGAAATCAGCAGCAGATTTCCAGTGTCTCTGAATCCCATGCAAGGCATTAACACTGCCTTTAGTAAGAGGGGCTGCAGCAAGAACAGGGGAGCATAAACCTCGGAGGAGGGCAGGCAGGGGTCAGCAAAGACCATCCTCCAGGCTATATAGCTGCCTTTTCAAAAACATTGCAGAAAGATTCTGGTCCCCTATTAAATTTGAGAGTTTTTAGAGTTATTTCCAAAAAGGGCTTACACATGGGCAATACCGCCGTGGGCCCAACCGGTTTCAGTGTCAAATGCAGATGCGCAAGGGCACTAAGAAAGCAACCTCCCTTTTTCCCCAGCCCTTGCCCTTTATGGACCGTATGCCGGAAAGCACCTACTTACTGGTATGTCTTGCGCTGCCCCAAACCCACTATGTACTACAGCATGTGTGGATCTACACGTGAGTGTGGTGTTGGATCAGTCCTCTAACAGGCTTATGCAAACATCTAACCCCACATTTAAAGAAGGTGGTGCAACCCAGAAATCAAGGCACACACCCTAAATGCTGGCTGGTGCAGAGCTAGCAGCTCTGCAGCTCACCAGCACGGAGGTCCTCCCAGTCCCAACTTTGCCCCCTTCACTTATCTCGCCTACCAGGTTGGACCGGGAGGTGGAAACACCAGGTCCTCCCACCAGTCTTTTCTCAGCTTCTGAAGCCCAGGCAAGGCCCCTTTCTCCACTGCCTGCTTGCAGCAAGGCCTGCCAGCTGGCTAATCAGTTCATTCAGATGCTGCAGCACAGCCTCCTCATCTTTGAGAGGAGCAGAGCTCCACGCACTGTCAAATGTGAGAGAGAAAATAACACATACTTAATGAAATGTGTTTGATCTGTCACAGTCCTTGGCACGTTCCAATTTGCTGCAGTCCAGGGCATATTATCAAGTACAATGATGCTTAAGTCTGGGCTTATTGAGGATGTCATAAGAAGCTGACAGGAGAGGACTTAGCTAATTCTTTGCTTTTATTCTTTTAATGCAAGGTGGCTCCAAAAGCCAGCCTATTTCTACTAATATTTGTGTTTTACCTGGTTTTGTGTTAGACCTGTTTCACACATGGGGGTGGGGGAAGATCACAATCAGGGAGTCACCTCCTCTCACCTAACCCCAGGAGGGGAATGCCCTGAGTGCCAGCCCGCAGCCTCGACCCTGACACCAGCCTCCACCTCAGGGACACCTGGACCAGGGCTCTGACGCTGCTCCTGTCCTCTGACCCCTGAATAGGCCAACACGAAGGACAGAAGCTGGGATGCTGCAATGGGGAACAGGGCTGGGACAAATACAGACCAGCAGGGGAGATGCGGCACTTGTGGCTTCATTTTCCTATTTGAAAAAGGGGGAAAACACCCTGGTTATGGAATCAAACCTTTTCACCTGGGAACGGGTGGTAGATTAAACTGGTGCCCAAAGTTTCGTTCCATGAGCTTCAGCTTCTCCCTTCCCAGACAAAGCGACAACACAGCATTACTCATCCCCACTGCTCCCCTCTCCGCTTTGCCTGCTGCTTCTATGAGAAAGCCTATTCACACACCTCCTGGCTCTTTTCCTGAACATCTAATCCTACTGTACCCCTATATGTTCTCAGGCCAGATGGGGATTCAAATAACTTCTTGTTTCCAGCTAGGAACAATTTGGCTCTCCCACAGCAGCCACAGCCACCCACTGTGTTACATCCTCCCCGACAGGCAGTCATTTTCTTCTCCCTTTGGATGCCCCTCTCCTTAATACATGAGTTCAGAGAAAAGACTTTGCCCCTCGCTGCCTGCCTGCACTTTTTCTGCTGTTCCTTCACCAAAGTTTGGAAAAATCCTCTGACTCCTTCGTTCCCAGTCTCTTTTTTCCCCTCTGCCATAAAGTTTTTCCAACTGTTAAGATACCACCTGACGCAGTCCAGTCTACCCACTCAGCCTCCACCATCACCACCTTCCCTCCTCAGCTCCCTCTGACCTCACCAGTCTCTTCTAGAGGTGCCCTGCTGTGTTTTCAACCCTCAGCACTTTGAGGAGGTGCCTCCTGAGGTTCCAGGCCTGGAGTACCCTTTGCAGATGTGACACCCAGCCTGTCGTTTTTCCACAGAGAGGAGGGGGCTTCCTCTGTGCCCAGTGCAACAGGCAGCTCCATATGAAACGGTACTGGACCTGGTACTTGGCTTGGTGCATGGAGGCAGCCACATTTTTCCCCACGAGATTTATTGCTGAGAAAATAAGAATACACCTGGATTCCACCAGGCACTGGAAAAAGAGCAGACAGCGTGCAGGCAGCCATAAACACAGACCACACCAACAAGTTCCCTCTTCAGTATTTGAATGAGGTAGCCCAGTCTCCACTTGGTCATGAATTTTGGGCGGTGTTTGTCCCACACCGACCACCATGAGATCCTTCAAGATCCACAACAGGCAAGGA